TGGCACTTTCAATATTCTCCTCCAACCTTAGCTGGCATTAATCCCTGGTCTCTGACCCATAACAATCAGATTCTCTCTGCAGGGGATCAGCTGCCTCAGGCTTAAGTAGTAAAATTCCCCTGAGTCTTCACTTTCTCCAGCTCAGTTCACCACTTTTCTCAATCCCCCATGATCGAGCTCTTTACCTGCACAACTTTGAGATCTGCTTTGTCCACATCTGCCAGCCCATTAGATACTGGCCCCAAAGGTGCTTTACCCTCCTTGAAGCTTAAAAATCAATTGATGTTGTGAGCTGCTCTGAAGCTAACCAAGGAACCAGCTGCTCTATGTTTACCAAACTGGACAAATGGTCCTAGGAACAAAATCAACACCAGCCACTCAGCAGGGCTAATTACCCAGTAAGCACGGGAAGTACAGGCTTACTTACGATTGCTTACGAATCTATACTGAACAATTTTACAAGGACTTCAAAGCTATGGTGGAAAATACATGAAATTGCTCACTACAGATTAGTAAATAAGCACAAGTAAGCATTGCTTACCTTGCTTACTAGGTAACTCACCCCTGTTAGAAACTGACAATTGGAAGAGGTTTGGATTCTGTAAGGTTGAGAGACAAATGCCAATCATACTTGGAAGTAGAATCTTTGATGTAGTAAAAAATGTACATTATTCATTACAGATCAGTAAGTAAGCATAAGTAAGCCTATGCTTACCTTACTTACTGGGTAATCCCGACACTGCACTAGGGACGCCATCCAGCACCATATTTCCCACCTGTGACCATCACACCCAACACCTGCCTCAGCTGTGCTAATCACACTCTTATATACACCTGCCCCACTTGTGCCCATCACACCTCCACACACAGCTGCCCCACCTGTGCCCATCACTCCCTTCACCCGTGTCCCATCTGTGCTCATCATACCCCCATACACACCTGCCCCATCTGTGCCCATCAGCCCTCCCACAAACACCGCCCCCAAGAACATTTGTCCCACCTGTGCCCATCACCCCCTCCACATATACACACACCTGCCTTGCCTGTGCTCAATACACCACTACACACATCTGCCACAACCAGTGTTTCTCATTTTGGACTTCTGGAGCACGAAACTAAACCACGTCTTCAGATCTCAAATTGCTACATCAGCAAAATGAGGAACACTGTGTCTTGCTTGTTAAAAACAAAGCCGCCACCACTAACTTACTTTGAATAACAGATAACTTATGCTGATCAATTTCAGAGACAATCTAACACCTCCCTTGACTTATAACAGAAAGCTGTTTCAATCCTGAAAGTCAGCCCAGAGAAGTGAACAGTTTTATCCATTGTCCCACAGTGGAAAATCAAAGTCAAGGTTCTCTGACAGAATGCCAAGCTCCAGAATGCCATCCAATCCAGCACCCGCTCTTTGCCTTGTGCACTAGCATGGACCAACCCACATGACATTCTCTAATCTAATGCTTAAGGATAGCTTAGGAGGGCAAGGGTTCCCCACCTTCCATGACCATAGTCTTCTTCCATTATTTTTCCTAAATAAGCCCTACATTTTAAAATATGCTGCCAATTAAACTTCATTTCATTAGTAATATCTATTTTTATTCATCAGAAGTCAGAAAGTTCCTAATCAACTCCTGTTATTTGGTTGATAGATATAAAATAACCAAGTTCATATAACTGCAACCAAATACTAAGAAAGCCAATGGTTTGGGTAAGTAGTGCAGGTATAGTTGATAATGTCCAATCTGCATCAAGCTATTGTGCCATCGACTCGATTCTGATTCACAGTGACCCTGCCTATATAGGGTTTCCGAGGAGCGGTTGGTGAGCTTGAACTACTGACCCTGAGGTTCAAACTGACTTTGCAGTCCAGCGCATTAACCTGTAGTGCCACACCAGGACTCAAACTATTAGAAATATTAAAAACAGCTTCTAATAAGGAATTTTGGGGGAGAGCAAGTTAATAATTATGATTAACATTTCAAATATATCTATCTTTAATCCTATTATTTCTGCCAGGAAAGTTGCTATCATAGATGTACAACAGTGAATAAGTAAGGGTGTTTGCCACAGCATTGACTGCGATGGTGAAAACTGGAAACTATTTTAATGTCCATCAGCGGGGAGTGAGTCTAGCTAAACGATTCAATACTGTGCAGAATGAGGTAAATCTGTGTTAGTTAACAGGGAAAAGATGACAACAATGCACCAATGTAGTAAAGGATAAAAAAGGGAATCATGTTAGAACAGAATATATACAATATGAATGTGTTTTCATTAACAGGATACACCAAAATAAGATGCCATAAAGACTCAAACTTTACAGAGTCAGGGGAGTTTATGAGATATTGTTTTCTTAGCACGTTCTTTCCTTCTTAGTGTTTGGATTTTTTTTCAGAAACACTATGGACTCCTAGTGGTTACGAATTGGGTTGCAAACCACAGGGTCAACAGTTCGAAACTACCAGCTGTTCCGCAGGAGAAAAATGAGGCTTTGTGCTCCCGTAAAGATTTACAGCCTCGGAAACCCTGTACAGGGTGGCTATGAGTCAGAACCGACTACACGGCACATAACAACAACAACAACATGAACTTCTGGTGTGGCACTGTAGGATACATAAGTGCAGGACTGCAAGGTCGATTTGAACCACAAGGTCAGAGGTTCAAGTTCACCAGCTGCTATGAATCGGAGGTGAGTTGACGGCACTGAACAACAACATCATGAATTAAATTGTGTCACCCCCTTGTCCCCCAAAATATGTGTTGGAGTTCTAACCCATATACCTATGGATACATTCCTGTTTGGAAATAGGGTTTCCTTTGCTATGCTAATTCAATCATATTTAAGTAGGGTGGGCTCTAAATCTAATCACTCCTGAGTTATAAAAAGAGCAGACAAAGGTGTAGTAGCCGAACAGACACAAGCACTACACACACAGAAAGAAGGAAGATGTGTCATGTGAAAACTGTCTTCCAAACAAGGAACCAAGGAGGGCCTACTGTTACTGATAAGAAACCAACACAGCCGAACCCTGATTTGGACTTCTAGCCTCAGAATGATGAAAGAATAAATTTCTGTTCTTTAAAAAGTGACCCACTCGTGGTATTTCTCTTATAGCAGCATTAGAGAATTAAGACAGAATCTGGTGCCAGTGAATCCCTCTGATAGATACCTAGGACATTGAAGTGGTTTTTGGATTTGGGTAATAGGTAGAAACAGGCAGAATTTTGATATCCTTGATGGTTGTTGTTGTTATGTGCCATTGAGTCAGTTCCAACTCATAGCTACGTTGAATAGGGTCTCCAAGGCTGTACATCTTCCCAGGAGCAGAAAGTCTCATCTTTCTCCTGTAATGCTTGATGGTAAAACCCTGTAACGCCTTGAAGACACTTTCGATGGAATTATGGAATGTAAGATCGATTCTGATGAGGAGCTCTGGTAACGCACTGGTTACTAGTCAGGCTGAAAACCTCAGTGTGAACAGTTCAAACCGACCATCTGTTCTACAGGAGAAAGATGAGTCTTTCTCCTCCTGTAAAGATTTACAGCCTTGGAAGCCCTATGCAGCTTACACTGGGAAGGATTGAAGCAGGAGGAAATGAAGAAAAGTGATTTGCCTCCTGGAATTTTACAGGTAGGGAACACAGCTAAGACCCTAATTTGAACTTTTAACTTCTAGAACTATGCAAAAATAAATTTCTGATCTTTAAAGTCAACCACTTAGAGTATTTCTATTTCTAGTAGCACTCAGAAGCTAAGACAAGCAAGCATGTACTCATGTATTGCTTTTGGAATAGGGAAAGGATGACACATAGGAACTTGCTTCAGGTATAGTCCAAAATATATATATACATTAAAAAAAAAAAGGCAGAGAGGAAGAAAGTAAACCACATCGACCCACCTCCCCAATTCCCACTTTCACAGAACCTTGAAACCACTCACCTGGGCACCTTAAAGGTGCCTTAGCCAGCCCCTACTCCCTGACTCCCTGGAACACCTATAGTCCTAGTAATCCTCCTTGGGGGTTGGAGGCTTGGGCTCCCTAAAATCCTCAAGCCCAGTCATGTCTCAGAGTGGGAGTCAGCCAGCACCGGGGTAATGAGTAACGAGGGGATAATGGCAGAGCTATTAATGAAGCAACTGCTGGTGTGAACACTAAAGAGACAGTGCACTTACAAAAATACAGGTAAATACAAAACAAAAAACAAAAACTTTCCCCTGTAACTATGGTTTTATCAGTCTCACTGGCCAATCCCTGGGACAAATAGCCCACCCACAGCTGTCAAGTCGTGGCTGCCTCACAGCTGACTTACAGCACAGAGAACTGCTCCATAGGGTTCACCAACTGGAAATCTTTGATGTAGCAGATTGCCTCATGTCTCCCATGGAACAGCTTGTGAGTTTGAACCATTAAACTTTCAGTTAGCAGTGCAATGGTTAACCCACTGTGTCACCAGGGTTCCTTGGAGGCAAATAGCGAGGGGGTAAATGAATGATGATGCTTTAGAACAGCTCAGATGTTTCCAGTGGAGGGTAAGAAGCCTGGGAAAGTAGGCTGCAATTTGGGAAGGTGATATTAGAGTCCTGAGCAGGAATTAAGGGGCTGCCCACTGCTGTCCAAGGAACCTAGGTAGCGGAATGGATTATGAGGTGAGCTGCTAACTGCTTGAATCCAATAGTTGAATCCAACACTTGCTTTGATTTATATATGATTTGTAGCCTCAGAAACAGGGTGGCTAAGACTTGGAACTGACTTGGCCGCCTCTCTCCTGTTGAGCAGCTGGTGAGTTCAAATTGCCAACCTACTGGTTAGTAGTCAAGCACTTTAATCACTGCAGTACTAGGACTCCTGAATTAAGAGGCTGCTGCTGGTGGTGGTTATGTGCCATGAAGTCAGTTTTGATTTACAGCAACCCTGTCCAGGGTTTCTGAAGCTATAAATCTTTATGGGAGCAGAAAGCCTCATCTTTTTCCCACTGAGCTGCTGGTGGATTCAAACTGCTGACCTTGTGGTTAACAGCCCAAAACGTAACCCACTATACCACCAGTGCTCCATGAATTAAGAGGCTAGAGAACAGAAAATAAACCTGAGATAATTCTTCCTTATGAGAAAGTAACTCAAATCCTCAAGGCAGAAAAACTACAGATAATAAGAAGAAGGCAAGTGGGGGAGACGACTCCTTTGAAGAATACAACAAAGCTAGAAAGACTAACAGTGAGTAGTGTGCAGGATCAGGGACACCCACAATGATCAGCATGTAACCCCTCCCAAGTTCTCTGTCCTCACTTAGATGAGCTGACCTAGCAACATCAGTTCACTTCCCTTTAAGAGGGCGTGTATCCTATACCCCAAACCATGTTGTTATAATATTGTCCAACTACAGGATGACCATTTCCCTTGGAGAAAATGTTCTTTAGTGAAAAAAAGAACTCTTTACAGGACTCTTTTTAATAGTGTGCTCGCACCACTGCAGTACAGTATAAATCAATTTATATACAATGTTTCAGGAATAAACATTGCATGCAGCTATATTTCAGATACCTTGAAAACTAACACCTTAGCTGTATACCCTACTCCCTCCAAATGATTTACTCTATTCACTTAGTTAATTTTCACATGACTTTGTAAGTAGATACTATTAGTATTCCCGTTGTGTAAAGAAGCAAGTCGAGGCATGGAAAGGATGAGCAACTTGTTCAAAGGCACACAACTATGAAGCAAGAAGGCCACAATTCAAACCAGACAGCCTGATTCCAAAAGGAGCACTCAAACATCATGCTATTTTAGCTGTCTTCCATGGAGTAATTTGCCCTTGGTACCTGACACCCTGCCCTGGCAGAGAAAGGAGACACTAATCATAGAGGTGTACCAACCCTGCTATTACAGCCAAACCAGTTGCCTCTGCTGCAGTCCAAACTTCAGCAGGCTACACTGGTGCTAGATGAAGTGAAATTATCATCACTAATCATGAGATTGACAAGGGTAGGTAGGACATCAAGGTTGAGATTCTGGGGAAGGCTTTTGAATGTAAGACACTTCCCAGTGTCATGTTAGTTGGCTGTTTCCACCTGCTGGTATATATATAACCTCTGAAGTGAGAAGAACTGATTTCAAAGAGAGAGAGGTGCAATCTGGAAGTAAGGCCAAGAGTTAGCATTACCAGAAACAATGTTGGAGGACCAGGTGTCCAGGATCTTTTGGATTGCGCTATGTAGTGTATAATGAATGATGCTAAAGAGGCCGATGCATGGGGCATGAGGATTGCTGCGTCCTCTCCCTGCAAACACTCATGCTGTCTCTGAAAAGATTGGTGTGAAAATGTTAACCTTAAATCTATCCCCAGAGGGAAGAACCTGCAGGAATAATCATGTGCAAAGAGCAAAGTTTAGCCCTCTGAGAAACAAACAAAGGTACCCAAGAAGTCAAATGTCAGAGCTGATTCCCCTGGGGCCAGGAATGAGGGCAGGCCTGGAAACACTGGCTCCTAACTGCAGTTTCTGCAGTAAGCAGCACCCTCCCAAAATTTAGACCAATAAAGGAAAACTGGTAACAGTATCAAAAACAAAAGTCAAACAAACCCACTGACAAATGTCCATCCCAAGTCATGCTGAACCCATGTGTTCCACAGTAAAACTGCTTCACTGTATTTTCTTAACTGGAATCTTTACAAAAGCAATCACCAGGACTTTCTTCCACCTAAAGGATGGGTTAGAACTGCCAACCTTTAGTTTAGTATCCAATAGCAAACCATTTGTACTACCTGGGGACTTACCTGGTAAACAGTACCAGCCAAAAGTAATTCCTGTACCCTACCACTGTGCCTTACTCATTCTGTGTACGATAGTGTTTGTGAGTGTAAAGACATCCTCTGGAGATGGCGATTCAGTTAAAGAAAGCAGTAGAAAACTGCTGAGCTACACTAGCAGGACAGTCCCCATGACAGACATTTTACTGAATCTATTTGTTTCGGATAGGAAATTTCCCCCTGGAGACTTAATTCCCATGTCAAACATTTCTTGTCTCATTCCCACCAAGCAACAGAGTCTAGGATTACAACTGTACAATATTCCCAAAATAAAACCCTGAGAGAGAGCAACCCCTCCTTTTCCCAGAACTCACAACATTTCTTCTCAGCTGTTCGGAGATTTGGGGTTTTGGTTTCATAACTGTTTTGTTCGGAGGAAGATGCAAAATCCACAGACATGGTAACTTCAGGAGGTGTCTAGAAGGTACAAAAGGAATGTAAGGGAGGGAAGGTAGGAGTCAGCCCTCAAAACACTGAATGACGAAAAGCAGTGCAGGATAGCAAAACCTGTGAGAACTGGAACTCAGCAGACATTGCCTTGTTTTCCTCCTTTGACAGGTGAAATCTTAATCACTTTTGTAACTGCTCATTTTAGTGGAATATATTTTGAGCTTTCCTTCTCTGGTAAGTTTCCATCTTACCTAGGTTCCCATAAGTGAAAATACATGTCTTTGAGGGAGTCTTGGTGTGGCGCTATAGGGTAAGCAGTGGACTTAACAACATGTTGTGGTGGTTGTGTGCCATGGAGTCGTATAGCGACCCTGTACAGGGTTTCCAAGGCTGTAAATCTTTACGGGAGCAGAACGCCTCATTTTTCTCCTGTGGAACAGCTGGTAGTTTCGAACTGCTAACCTTGCGGTTCGCAGCCCGATTCGTAACCACTACGCTATCTTTGGCTAAATCATTAATTTCTCTAGCCCTGTGTTTCCTCAGCTACAGGGAGTAGCTCTAGATCCTTGCATTTATATACTGATTTAGTTTAATCCAAAACCAAATTATTGCGATCAGTCCATTCCCCCTCTTAGGGATCCTGTATAGCATTTCCGAGGCTGTAAATCTTTACGGGAGCAGAAAGCCTCATCTCGAGGAACAGCTGTAGGGTTTGAAATAGCAATCTTGTGGTTACAGTCCATTGCTTATCCTACGGCGCCACAAGGGCTCCTTTTAGGCATTTAATTTCCTTTCAATTTTATGTCCTTTCAATCCTTTCAACTATGCAGATTTTGCTACCTTTATTCCATCTACCCATTTTACACATTGAAAAACTGAGGTTAATTGATATTGAGTGGCTTGTCCATGTTCCTTCGTGATCCCAGAACTCAGTTTTAATAATCCTGGAGAACAGTAGGGGCAGGGGAGAAATAAATCAAGTTCAATATCCAGAAAGTAATTCCAGTCCAATAGTAGAACTAAGCCCTGAAAAAATGAGAGATGTGTGTGGGAAAGGGGGATCTCAAATCAGTTCCTCGCAGAAAAAACAAACAGCTGCAGCACATCACCATGTCTCCTGGGGCGTTCTCACTCTCAAGTCCTGTTCTGCACACGGTCCACATCTATCCCCTGGGACATTAGCTAGAGAAAGACCACTGAGCGCAAATGACTTCCCCAAGGTCAGCTGCAGATAAGGGGTAAAGCCTGACTCGGACTCCCGGGTACATCTGTCAAGAGGACGGAAGGTCCTATTGCTTCAAGGACCTATTACACTGCTCCTCCACTCCCCACACAAATCCTCAACCCAAACACCAGCTGGGGCTCCAGGTCCCTGAACGTCCGCACTCCGGGGAAAGCCCCGGGGCCGGGACTTCCAGAGAAACAGCGAAGCACCATCGCTACGCATCTCATCCCGCCCCACCAGTCCCTTCCAGCGCTGCGCAGCTGCCGCTCACCAGAAGATCCCTCCAAAGATCCCTCCCGGCTGCAGCCCCGGTGCTTCCCTTGGTAACGCGACAGACCCAAGCTGATAGCCCAGCCCCGGGCTGGCAAAAGAATACCGGGCAAATCACGTGTGCCTGTCTGCCTGGCTCCACCCATCCCGCGTAGCTCCTCACCTGGAGAAAATCATCGACCAATAGTGAAGCTGCAGGCTCCGGGGGGCGGGGCTCAAATCTAAATCCACGACTCAAGCTCCGGATGGAGGAACCCAGAAAGGCCAAGATCACAAGTCCCCGAGGTTCCTACCACGGTAGTGGTTGGTTGCATCGTTACCTGGCAACTAACTTGGCTGGGGGCGGAGTTAATGAAATGAATTACATTTTTCCCCAAACTCTCGCGAGAGTGGACTACTAAGTAAAGGTCTTGAGAAGGTTTTGGTGACGTGAGAATGTTGCAAAGATTAACGCTTTCAAACCTGAATCCCGGCGGGATCTCGTTAGATCGATACTTTGGAAAGGTAAACTAACACGGTACGTGAGCTGGCACACCTTTTCATATCTGTCCCATCGTTCAGACACTGTAACCTAAGAAAAATCTATTACTCCCATTGCTGAGTCATAAGCATCCTTGGATCCATCCACGTACTCGTGTCTTCTACCTACCTCTCCCTCACCCCAAACACACACACACACACACACACACTCTAATCTGTTATGATCAGTTTGAAGACCCAAGCTTCAAAATTGGGACATAAAACGTGTGAAATGTGCAAATGTTCCATATAATTTATTCAACGGTGGAAGCTTTTACAGAAAGGAGGTGAGTTTGCAAACTCCAAGTGAAGGACACTTCTTTCATAGTTGCCCCAGGTCCATGTGATGGTTGATTGTTTTGATAAACCTGCTCTAGCATTGATTTCTTGGAAAAGAGATAATTCTGGGATGTTTTTATTCCGCCTTCACCTAGAAATTAAATCATTCTCCAAAATAGCTCAAATAGTATTTCCTATTTGAGGCTTTTTACAACTTCCAGCCTTCTCTGTGCCTATACAACTCTGTCTTTATAAATTCAGCCAGCATGGATTGAGCACTTTTATTTGCTAGGCATAGTCCTAGGGATATACAGTCCATAATCTAGCTCTATCTGGTTGTTCTGAAATTCAATAGCTATGTGTCCCTGTCACCCAACTCCCTCCACCGACTTCAAAGAGTACTAGTTACACTGAAGGCAAACTTGGAGTCGTTTTCATGTTTCTATGCTCAGGACCTAAACTGCAGGCTGGATGACATGCCTTAGTACCCATTCCTCTTCATTCCTTCTTATCCTTCCACCACCTGAATGTAGCAACTATCCGACGCCCAGATGCTGACGTCATACTGTGCTTTCTGATGTGGCAAATCAACGTTTTCAAGTCCCAGGAAGGTAGAAAGGCCAGTTGTCCGACACGCAACCTCAATGAGTCAATGTTTGGTGCAGCCACGAGACTAGTCACAAGTATCTGATTGTTTTTGACAGCTCTTTTGACTCACTGATCATTCTTGGAATTCCTTTGCGTTCTGAACTATGACTCCGTTTCTCTCGGTGTAGTTTGGAAGCCTTAATTTAACAATTTGCGACCTCACTAAATTACATTCCAATTTATTGGATTCAGGAACTTCTTCCTCCGCCCTCTTTCCTTGAGCATATATGATGCCAACGCGGAGGGCAGCTCACTAGCAAGCACTACAGGTAGCAAGACCAGTCTACTCCCTTTGGTTCTTGAAGGGGAACGAAATAAAGTGTCACTTTAAGAGAATTCAATCCTATTAAGGCGCTAGGGCTGAAGTTAGACTTCAGTGTCGCGAGAATTGTAAACAAGCAGCAACTTCTCGCGATGTTTGGCCCGGCGAAGGGTGGCCATTTTGGAGTCCACCCGGCGGCTGGTTGCCCCGGCGGCGTATCCCAACTTGCTGCCGGGACCAAAGCTGGCCCCGCAAGTACCGTTCCTGTGGGCTGCCGGACCGACACGATGTGGCGGCTCCGCTGCAAAGCCAAGGATGGTACCCATGTTTTACAGGGGTTGTCCAGCCGGACCCGGGTGCGGGAACTCCAAAGCCAAATTGCCGCCATCACCGGGATCGCTCCCGGCGGTCAGCGAATCCTGGTGGGATACCCGCCGGAATGCCTGGATCTCAGCAACGGGGACACCATCCTGGAGGACTTGCCCATCCAATCAGGTAAAGAACTCGGGGTTGGGGAGCAGGGACAGACCTGAGGAAGCGGGAAGGGGATGAGGATGGAGAAGGACCCAGTCACGGCAGGTGGCTGGACTTCACTGGGGAGCATTAATGACGGGGATGAGAATAGATTCTAGAGTTGGGGATGCCAACTGAGGCTGGGGCAAGTGTTAGCCACCCCTGGTCTCTACAAATGGCTGAAAAAGACAAGGAGGGCCCAACCCTCGGGAGAAACCCCAAAGCCTTGGAATCAGACTCTAACCTATTCTCTTTTCTGGGCTCCCTCGAAAAAGTCTCATTCATTTTGTTTCCCTTCTGCATTTAACAAAAACGTTAGAAAGAGCAGGGCATAGTTTGTCCGTTCGGACCACTACTGTGGCTTTCCCCTCTATATATGCAGGTCTAAAAGATGCAGGATACTTTGTTTTTCTGGTTCGGTTTTCCAATCACTTTCCTATGTACTTAGTTTCATGATTGTTGTTAAGTGCCGTCGAGTCGGTACCGACACTCACAACGACACTGTATAGGGTTTTGAGCCCCAAAGTCGGCGGTTCAAGTTCACCCGCCGCTCCTCGCAAACCCTATACAGGATCCTCGCTATGGGTAGGAACCGACTCGAGGACACTTAACAACAAAAACAGCAACAAATAGGGTTTTCGAGGAGCATCTGGTGGGTTTGAACTGCCGACTTTGTGGTTCGCATTCCATTGCTGAATCTTTTAAATAACCACTGGTAGCGTCGTGGTTACGACCCGGGCTGTTAACCTCAAGGTCAGCAGTTCGAAACTACCACCTGATCCATCCACCCGAGGTTGATGAAGCTTTTGCTCTCGTAAAGATTTACAGCCTCGCAAACATGCCGGGTCGCTTTGAGTCCTAACCGACTCCAGGGCACACCAACAACAACAACAAAGTATCTTCCGGGGATTCAAGCTCACCAGCCGCTCCTCGGAAGCCCTGTACAGGGTTCCTGTACCCTTGTATCTTTCAAGTTCAAACGAATGTTCAAACGTGAACAGCAACTTTGGTAATTAAAAGCTTTGTTAATATTGAGAAGTCTGTAAACACCAGAGTTGATTACGTTTTAAATTTCAAGAGGAGGAGAACCCCCTAGTGGCCTATTCTATGGTGATCACATTTCTGGAAGGTTTGTGTTTATTAAATGCAGAGAGCAAACAGAATCACACTTTGGTTTTGAAAATATTTTAAAAAGTATAGTGTTGTTTAACCCAGTCCCTTCGTTCAGTAGGGAAGCAACAAGAGGCAGGATTTTTTGTTTTGTTTTTGCTGATTGCTGATTGCTTTATTTTCATGTTTATGAAGTTCCAGTGAACAAAAAATGTAGCTGGTAACTTATGTTGTTGTTATTAGGTGCCATTGAGTCAGTACCAACTCATAGGGATCCTGTGCACAGCAGAACGAAACACTGCCTGATCCTGGGCCACGCTTGAGTCCATTGATGCTGCCACTTGGCTAATACATCTCATTGGAGGTCTTCATCTTTTTCTCTAACCCTCCACCTTACCAAACATGTAACTTATAAAGTTGTATTTTTTTTTAGTGGCCCCAGTTGGTGCTTTAACTCTGTGTTTGTAGTTTGAAGATTTCCTAGTGAACACCCAATTCTGTGTGTAATCTCTCTGCAGTTTTTGATTTCTGTTATTTTTAACAGGCGACATGCTGATCATTGAAGAAGACCAAACCAGGCACACAACTTCACCTGCATTTGCAAAACATGGTGCTCCTAGTTACTACAGGGAAACTTTGCCTGTGCTTACCAGAACTTCGGTTCCAGCAGACAACTCTTGCCTCTTTACCAGTGTGTATTATGTCGTTGAAGGGGGAGTTCTGAATCCAGCGTGTGCTCCTGAGATGAGACGCTTCATAGCTCAGATTGTAGCAAGCGATCCAGAGTTCTATAGTGAGGCAATCCTGGGAAAGACAAACCAAGACTACTGTGACTGGATCCAAAGGGATGATACTTGGGGAGGTGCTATTGAGATCTCCATTTTGTCCAAATATTATCAATGTGAAATCTGTGTAGTGGATACACAGACAGTCCGAATTGATCGCTTTGGGGAAGATGCAGGATATACCAAAAGGGTCCTACTTATTTATGATGGCATTCACTACGATCCACTTCAGCGTAACTTCCCTGACCCAGACACCCCTCCTCTGACCATTTTCTCGTCTAATGATGATATTGTTCTTGTACAAGCACTGGAATTAGCTGATGAAGCTAGGAAAAAGAGACAGTTTACAGATGTAAACCGCTTCACCCTGAGATGCATGGTGTGTCAGAAGGGGTTAACTGGACAAGCAGAAGCAAGGGACCATGCCAAGGAGACAGGCCATACCAACTTCGGAGAGGTGTGATCTATGCATGATAGGGGTTGAAGCTTACTACCTCACGGATCCAGAAGGTTCTGGGTATTCCAATAAGCTATTCGTAACCCTAAAGAACAAAAAGGACAGGATGCTTGAACCACCGTTTTAACTTAAAACCACGAAGACACTGAAATTCCTTGTTAAGATTAAAATTAGTGTGCAAGTTTACAGATGTGTGTCTACAGTGGTGATACCCTCTCTTTCTGCTGAGGTGACTGGGTGGTGCTTGCCACCTTCTGACACTAACCGGAAAACTGAGTTTTAGTATTATAAGCTAACACCCAGCAGCATTAAGCTGTCGAAGAAAATCCCGTCACATTTGGGGTAATGCAGAAGTCCTCATATGAGGCCACTGGACATGCAATGTACCACAGTATTACCAGTAATTGAATGCTTTCATTAACTCTGAATTAATAATTTCTAAATTATGAATTGATTCCTCAAATGATGATACACAGAATTGTGAAAACTGATTTTATATTACCATTTGGTAGACTTTATAAATGTGTACGTTAGCTATTACAAGTACATATCAAGCAATTTTTACAGGGATGGGTCAATTAAGAATGTTAACTAAAAACAGGAATTGATGATATCCTGTTATAAGATTTCCAGTGTGTAACAGTGGAATGTATGAAGAAAAAGGTGCCTGAAGCAACTGACTGAAGCTTTAAAAGACTGTTGGCCTCATATTTTAATGCAGTTTAGTTATTGGTCCTTGCTACATTGGATACAATTTTTAAATTAAGCAGGGTAATTTGAAATTTAAGTGTTCCATTTTTTTTTTTTCTTGCATATCTGTCTGGAGGGATTTGATTTCCTCCAAATTCTGAAAGGAGAAGAAGTTTATCTAAAATAGTAATGTTCCACTTTGGGTGATTTTGTGTTTTAGAAATCTTCAGCTTACCTAACCAGTGTTTGTTTTCCTATTGGCCTTACCCCTTCATTAATGCTCTCTGGAATAATTTCACATTTCTGCAAATCAGCACTTTGCTATCAGTGAACTTTTACTTTGCTTTTTGAAGAGTTTAGATAACTGGGATGATAATACTGAAAGGACTAGTTTTACTTCCAAAAGATGAAAGTTTTAAAATCCTTGCCTTAGCTTTCTCAGAATTCTGCTTTCTTCCTAATACTAGATGTGTAGCCTTTTGCCTGGTGGGCTGTTCTGTAAGGCACCTCCTCTAAAACTTAGCTTCACTATGAGCTCTTCCAGATAAAGTTTTCTACCTCTTAATTCTTTGTAAGATCAGGGATGCTAAATTTAGAATTGTTATGTATTTTTCACATAATGTGAAGAGACTTAATGTTGTGAAATTGTTTTGGCTTGATTTCATTTTTGATTAAGGATCTCGTTTAGAAAACTAATGGTATACTTTAAAACACTTACCTTTCAGCACATCTTGGCCAAATGTTTCAAAATTAAGGTTTAGCACTTTCACTTGGTGAAATTAAGAAACATGTAGACAATTTAGGGGGAAAGTACCTATAAGGAACAGTTCACAAAGTATGCTTGAAATCATCAGATGACGTTTCTTGAGTACCTTTGTGTAGCTGCTTTGAGCATTTTTAAGTTAGTATTGTCAGTATAACTTAAAAGTGGTTAATTTTCCATTTTACTGAGCCTTAAAAACAGCACTTAATTTTTGGCAATCCTATGTGTACAAATGAACAGGATTTAAAGTCTCTTCACACTTGTCATCTGGTCTAGATGGCTTTTGTATCTTTTATTTCTTCTAGAAGATATTAAATTTAAAACTGTAAATCAAGTATCACTGGGGTAGCATCCATCAAATTAAGCTTTATGTATCATTATTCATAAAACTTGTCTTCCTTTCTTAGTACTTCAAGAGCCAAAGTTGACATGTGCTTACTGAAATTTTAGATCTAGAAGTTTATTCATGCAACAAATATTTATTGAGTAATTTATAATGTGCCAGGCATGTATTGGTGTATCTCCTAAAATACATTTCTGTCACTTTAAAATTGAATCTATATTTTAACTGTAGGGGTTTAATTTAACATATGGAAAGAAAAAGAATGATGTTATACGTAATTAAACCCTTCATTTTAAGTGTTTGTGTTTACATATTTAAGCTTAATACTTCTATAGCAAGTGTCAAATATTTATTCATGGGATTTTATTATGGGGTTTTTTTGTTGTTATTTAGATTGTCAGTTCACAGATTGGATAGTGATAAACTACTGTCAATAATGACTTTATCATCTGAAATTCAGTGCTAGTACTTTGTTCTGGTCCTGGAATATTCAGAATGAAGCACTACTTGTAGACCAGTTGACGTAATTATTGAGCATTATAAACCTAAACTTCTGCATATTTCAAGCTCTAGCTTGTATACCTTGTATAATTTAAAGGTAACTTTTACTGCTATTAAACTTTTTAGAAATTAGTTATTATTGTGAATAAATACAGATTCCGATAACTTTGAAAAGCTATGGATTTAGTAGTTGCAACAGGATTAAAAGAAACTGTCTTAAATTTGCACTAGAACAGAATAAGACCCTTTTTCCTTTTCATTTAGTTTTTGACTGCCATACAAGAATATCATTTTAATGAAAGTGAAGATAGTTTTTGTCAGTGACAGTGACTAAAGACTGTACTTCCCAACCCCTGTCCTCTTCTCCCTCGCTTCTTTATTTAAGGACTAGGTGTAGTGCTGTGGGGATAGTATCATCAGTATGTTATATCTTCTTATCATAATAATAGAGTTCATAATTATTTCCCATGAGTGAGGAGTGGGCCTAGCAAGTGGTGGTAACCTTGAAAGTATGGGTGCTGCTCAGCTTGACCTTGTTGATAAGAACTAATGTAGTTTGCCACTTGATTACTCCATGAAGTTCGAGTCCCAGCAAAACCGTGATCAGGAATGAGTGACACCACATGATTTTAGATTGTTGTTAAGTACCTTGGAGTCAGTTCCGACCCATGGCAACCATGCTGCATAGGGTTTCCAAGGCTGTAAATCTTTACGGAAGCAGAAAGCCTCATCTTTCTCCCACGGAACGGCTGGTAGTTTCAAACTGCTGACCTTGAGGTGGGCAGACCGACTCGTAACCACTATGCTACCAGAGCTCAATATACATGCCCCCTAAGTGCCCAGGCCTAACTTGCTTATCTAGCTTCTTCTATCCTGTAGAGGGATTAAAACATAGGGGTTGCAAGTTTCTCTAGCTAAATATAGTTTTCTATGTCTTTACTGAAAAAAATGAGAATGATGAGTATTCCATATTAACCGTGATATTTTTTCTTGATGAATCAGATGTGGCCTTCCTAAACTTTCATATGTAATTAATCATGTTCATTCATATATTGAGACACATTTGTTTTTATTTGCAGCACTTTAAAAGATAAAGTTTATGTGCTTGACCTCTAGGGATTTTGTTAAGGGCATTAAAATAAAATTCTTGAGCTGCTAACAATGAGCTCTAGATCATCTGTTGCCATCAGTGCATTATAATGTATCCAGTGGCACAGCATTCTGGTGTTTTGATACAGTGGTGGTGGTTGTTATCTACCATGGAGTTGGTTCCGACTCAGCAACCCTGCTATAAAGCTGTAAATCTTTCAGGGATTGCAGAAAGCCTCATCTTCCTCCCACGGAACAGCTGGTAGTTTCCAACTGCTAACTCTGAGGTTAGCAGCCCAATTCGTAACCCCTACTCTGCCACAGTAGAACTCAATTTCACTAACTTTTAGGTGCATGCTCTGTGCCCTAACATTGGAAATGTTACTTATTGCACTATGATTGTCTATCATGTATTGTGCAATACAAATTTGTCCTTGCAACACAAAGACAGCTCTAACAACTTCTAGAGGATTAGATTCTTAAAACCGCATCTGCTTCTAAAGTAACTCATAAGGGGACCGGATTTTTAGTCTGAGGCCTTGAAAATGACATGTACAGCACACATTTTTAAGACTAAATTGAAACACTGATTTGAATAAGCTAGTTTATCAACTAGAGAAACTTCCCACATTTCATCCAACTTTAAAATGAATGTAAAACTTCTCCAGTTGTGGAAAACTGATTTTTCCTCTTCGGAAACTTAGCTGACATTTTGTTTACAGTACTTTGAACATTTGATTTAGGAAGAAAATATTAGACTGATACTGAATATTTAGGGTGCTGATTTGGGGCTTGATTCCTAAGTACTTAAAAGAGGTTGATAATCCTCCCATGCCATTTTGGGGGCAAAGGGAGGCAAGGGTAAAGTACCACTAAAAAGGGGAAGAGATTCCCGAATGGATGCATTCCTGGTCATGACTTAAGTTTTACAGAAAAATTTCCAGTTACTGCCTTTGTGTCACCTCAATGCTTCTCCCGTATTTCTTGGCATAGACTGTAGCAGGGCTATACACAAGAAAGTGTGTGAATAAAGTATAAAATTAGGAATATAAGCATTTCCTTGTATGTCTTTTTATACTTAGGTTTTGAAAAACAGCAACTCCTACCTAGGAGTTTAGGGATAGGGAAGCTAGGATTTGGTTAAGTTGTAAATAGATGAAGTTAACAAGAAAGGTTTAGAATTTCTACTAAGATTGTGTGATACTAACTTTATTATAACTGGTATAGGAGAGGTAGGTAATTGTAGCCTGTAGTTTAACTTAAAGGACCAGGAGACCTAATTCTTGTCAGTTTTCTAGTTCACCTTGGTGTGCCATATAGGACTGAAGCTGTTTACAGGAAATAAATACTTAGCAAGGGGTAATTTGTTCCCTTTAATAATATTGTGAATTCTGCTTAAAATAGAGAATAAATTTAATTTGTCAATGGGGATAAGAGAATGACTTAGCCCTAGAGTTCTCTGCTAATGCAGTGGAGACAAAAGATTCCTGAAGCAAGAAGAAAACCACAAGTACAGACTGTCAAATCAAGAGGCTGGGAACAGAGCTTGAAAAAAAGTAGTGGGGAAGAAAAAAACAAAATTGTTTTTCTTGGTCTGGAACTTTTTTTTTTTTTTTTTTA